AACAAATAAATAATGTATACTTACCATAACAAACACCAGAGCTCATTGGCATTTTGCTTAACAAACACTGCCTTAGGCAAGTCAAGTCACTGAATTTTACTGTGCAATTAGCTGTGTGAGTCTCAGAGTTTTTCAGGAAAGAGACTGCTATTCCTTCTTCTTTGGGAGAACTAACTTTCCTTGTAATTTGTTAAGTTTGCCATAGAGCTCTCTTCTACCAGTATTGCCACTAAATACTCTTTCCCCATCTCTCAGAGCATATATGTATTCAACTTTACTTAGACTACTAGTTTATTCCAGAGGATGAGTAAAACACTGCAAAGTGAATTAAAAAATTATAAATAAATAAAGACATGGAAGTTTCCTTCAAAAGAAGATGATGGTAATTATGTGAGTGTTTATGAGTAAGAACCAGGAGGAAGGCCAACAAAGCAGATAACCTGGTGGGAGTCTGTTGTAGACCATCCAAACAGGACGAAGAGGCAGGTCAAATATTCTGTAAGCAGTTGGGAGAAGCCTCATAATCGTAATCCCTTGCTCTCGTGAGGGACTTCAATTTACCAGATGTTTGCTAGAAACACAGAACAGTAGAGAGGAAACAAAATGATAGAGTTTTCAAATCTCAGAGAAGTAAGCAGGAGGGTCAGCAGAACTGCCACCTGGGACTTCTGGAGGACGGACTTTGACCTGTTTAGGAGACTTGCTGACGGAGTCCTTTATGAGGCAGTCTTGAATGGCAAGGAGTCCTGGAAGGCTTGATGTACCTTAGGAAGGAAACCTTAAAGGCACAGGAGCAGGCTGTCCCCATGTGCCAAAAGATGAGTCAATGGGGAAGAAAACCAACCTGGCTGAACAGAGAGTTTTGGCTGAAAATTAAAGTTAAAAAAGGGCATTTGTGAGCTTTGGAAGAAAGGGGCGGGCAACTCTGTAGGACTACAAGGATGTCAAGAGTTTATGCACGGAGAAAAGTAGAAGGGCCAAAACCCAAATAGAATTACTTGCTGTAACAGAATATAAAAAATTATTTCTATAAATAAATTAGTGACGAAGGAGGGCTAAGGATAATCTCCACCCTTTATTGGATGTGTGAGGAAACATAGTAACAAAAGACAAGAAAAAGGCTGAGGTGCTTAATGCCTGATTTGATCCAGTCTCTAATAGTATGACCAGTTCTTTGAGTACCCAGCCCCCTGAGCTGGAAGACTGGGATGGGGAGCAGAATGAAGCCCCCATAAGCCAAGCAAAAAACGTTCAGGGACCTGCTACACCAATTAGACACACACAAATCTACACAGCTGGATGGGATCCACACAAGGGTTCTGAGGAGCCGCTGGAAATGCTCACCAAGCCACTTTCAATCATTTATCAGCAGCCGTGGCTCATCAGGGAGGTCTCAGTTGACCTGAGGTTAGCAAGAGTGATGCCTATCTACAAGAAGGGCAGGAAGGAGGATCCAGGGAACAACAGGCTTGTCAGCCTCGTCTTTGGTGATGGGGAAGGTCTTGGAAAAAATTATCTTCATTACTATCACAAGGCAGGTACAGGACAATGAGGGGATTGAGCCCAGCCAAAATGTGCTTATGAAAGGCAGGTCCTGCTTGACCAACCTTCTGTAAAAGGGTGACCCACTTAATGGATGAGGGAAAGGCTGTGGTTGTTGTCTACCTGAGTTTTAGTAAAGCCTTTGACACCATTTCCCACAGAATTCTCTTGGATGAAATAGCTGCTCATGGCTTGCGCTCTTCACTGGGTAAAAAACCTGTCTGGATGGCCAGGCCCAGAGAGTGGAGGTAAATGGCGCTAAATCCACTTGGTGACCAATTACTAGTGGTGTTCCCAAGGGCTCAGCCATGGGGCCATTACCATTCAATATCTTTATCTGTGATCTTGACAAGGGGATGGAGTGCCCCCTCAACCAACTGGTAAATGACAAGTTGGGCAGGGGTGTTGATCTGCTGGTGGGTGGGAAGGATCTGCTGAGCGACCTGGACAGGCTGGATCAATAGGCTGAGTTCAATTCTATGAGATTCAACAAGGGCAAGTGCCAGATCCTTCCCTTGGGCCACAACACCCCCATGCAGTGCTGCAGGCTAGGGGCAGAGTGGATGGAAAGCTGCCCAGTGGAAAAAGACCTGGGAGTGCTGAGTCAGCAGTTTGCCCAGGTAGACAAGAAGGCAAATGGTATTCTGTCTTGTATCAAAAATTGTGTAGGCAGCAGGACCAGAGACACGATCATTCTTCTGTACTTAGTACTGGTGAGGACACAGCTGGAATCCTGTGTTCAGTTCTGGTCTCCTCACTACAAGAAAGACATTGAGGTCATGGTGTGTGTCCAGAGAAGGGCAACAGAGCTGGTGAAGGTTTTGGAGTACAAGTCTGATGAGGAGAGGCTGAGGAATCTGGGGTTATTTAGTCTGGAGAAAAGAAGGCTCAGAGGAGACCTTATAATTTTCTACAACTACATGAAAGAGGTTGTAGCAAGGTGAGGGTCAGTCTCTTCTCTCAGGTTACAAGTGACAGAATGAGAAGAAATGGCTACTTGTTGGGCCATTGGAGGTTTAGATTGGATATTAGGGAAAATTTCTTCACCAAGAGGGTTGTCAAGCACTGAAACAGTCTTGAAACAGGAAAGTGGTAGAGTCACTATCCCTGGAGGTATTTAAAAGAAGTGTAGATGTGGTATTTAGGGACTTGATTTAGAGGTGGGCTTGCCAGTGCTGGGTTAAGGGTTGGATTCAATGATCTTAAAAGTCTCTTCCGACCTAAATTATTCTATAATTCTATAATTGCATACCTTTTACAAATGGTAAACTCAGTACCCAGGCTTATAACCATTACCCTCTTTGGCATTGTTTTCAACTTCTGCTTAGGATAGACACCCGCAGAAGACGTTTTAGTGTTGCATCACTACTTGCAAGAATAAAGCATTTGAAAATATTTAGTCTTGCTTGTAGTGCAGTCCAAGGCCCAAGAAAGCTCCACTCCTATGTTTCCATAACAGATTGTAATTTTTCTTGTCAGTTCCTGACTGACGATTTACATGCAGTTCTGAGTAGGACCCTGTGTGTCAAGATATGACTGTCAGTACTGATTATGGCAGTCTTCCTTGTCTTTCCTGTTTCATATCATCTGGGTATTAGGAAGTTATCAGCTCTTTATTTATGGGAATTTTTTCTGCCTCATGTTAAGCCATATATTGTTATGTGAATAAGCACCACGTAAATGGATAGATAATAAACACTGTGCTGAGACTGTTTGCATAGATATTGCCAAAATGGTCCTAGCCAATAGTTAGTCATTAGTTTTTCTTTCTCTTCCTTTTTGTAGGCTGATTTCCTGTAAAGCTTTTTTGGTTCGGTTACAGTGTTTTATTGTTTATCATATTTTGTTCATATATTCAACATACTCTAATATATTTACAAAAGAATAGGTCCTTGTTGATAATTGGCATGTTACCATATATAAAAAATAAACTTAATCCCTGGTATCGGAGTATTTGTTTGCCTCTGAGGACTCCCAGTTTCTCTGACTTTATTCCACTCAGTGCATGTTGGGGTAGCATCTTACTTATCCAACCCAGGAGTATCTGGCCAGATTTCACCTGGTCCTTGTCACAGACACTCAGGAACAAATGATAAGGATCGCCATAGACACTTGATTTCCGTGTCTCTCATGCTCAGCAGTGGATATATTGCTCCTGATTACTCCCAGTCCCATTGGCCAAAAGCAAAAGCTAGGCTGGCTCCTGAGTTTGAGACTCTCTTGTGGCGGAGTAAAGAACTAGATTCTGATTCCTTTGTATGTTTTTGTGTAGATTGTTGGAAACACTCTTTTAATATATCTGGAGTATTGAATACAGTCTCATAATTTCTCAGATTATTCTCTTGATATTGAAATAGACATGCAAGGTTGTTAATTCGTATGCTTTAGAAATGTTCAATTCAATGTAATAAATGTGCTTCCTCTTTACATAGCAGAATTATTACTTTCAAGAAAACATCAATTCAGGTTCATAAAATTTCAAAAGGGATAGCATTTTTGGGGTAGGACTGTTAAAGCAAATGGTGTTCATGGAGGGACAAAAGACATGAAGATGGGGTTTACTTCAGAGAGGTACCTAGTAATTTAGATGCATTTGTGAATTTTGACAAAGTAATTGTGTAACAAGTAAAAATCTGATGAGGTCATCTGTTTTTACAAGGATTAGATCTACCTAGATAACATTTTTTAAGCAGTCGAAATGGTAGGCAAGCATTAAACACTTATCTTTTCATTTCAGAGCCTCCAGAGCAACTTCATTCTTTGACTTCAGAGGGGGCATCCACTGCTAAGTAGAGACATAATACTGTCTTTTTTTAAAAATTACCAGAACTGGCTCTCATGTCGTTAGCAGGGATGTCATGTTTAGGAAAACAATGATTCCCTCAGGACTGATTTCTCATTTACTACTTCAAAACGCTTCTCAAGGGAGCTTCTAAAGGCATCATCAACTCTCTTTTTCCTTCTAGTCTCATTTGTTTTGATATTATGAATCCTACAACTCCCTAACGTATCATGTGAGGTTGCTGTAGTACACGCTCTTGCTGCATCTGAGATGTAAAGGAAAGGATACTTGTTTAGGGATTACTACTGCCCCTTGCTTGGATGTCCCAGCCATTTCAATGCATGCTTTACATCCAGATTTTCTTGTTTATCTGGCAGTTCATTATTTAAGGCCGGCTTGTCAAAACAGGTTAAATATTCTTTGGGAAACATGGTTACATCTTTGAGACACCACAAATATGTTTAATACAAAAAGATTGGCTTGATAAAAGAAATATGATAAACTTGCATCCCCCAAAATACTCTTCTGCTGTTCCATGTAGATTTCTAAAAGTGTCAGTACGCAATGACAAACTCCATGGCAATACATTCCTGGAAAAGACACAGAGGGACAAAGCAGTGAAAAATGATTGTTGATGATTTGTTCTAACTACTTGACCTTGTGACATCTCCCCCAGATATATGACCAAGATGGGACACTGCAGCACTTTATCGATGGTGGAGAACCCAGTAAGTCAAGCTGGATGCGGTATATTCGATGTGCGAGGCACTGTGGAGAGCAGAACTTAACAGTGGTTCAGTACAGGTAAAGTGTTTTCTGATTTACTCAATGATACAAAGTTTTACTGGAAGGTCAGGCTGTAACTGTCACCAGTACTGTTGCTTTTCGTTGCAAAGACAGGAGCAGAGTTATGGATGTGTTCATATGGGGTGATAATAAAAAAATTCAGCATGAAGCTCCTGGGAGCCTGAGCAGCCCTGTGTCACTGTGTGGCCACCATGCTACATGGAGCCCTCTTTTCTGAATGATCTGATCAGAAGCAGGCCAACACCAGTAGTCTTCCACCGTTAATAGAGTTGTTCAACTTCTATGTTGAACGCACCTGCTGACCAACATTGCTAGTGCTTGTACCTCTTACGTTGCTGGCTGGAGAAAGTCAAAGTGTGAAAAAAAATGTAAAGAAATTATGGTGCATTTTACTTTGTACTTGCAAACATATCCAGAAAACCCAGACAACACATTACATAAATACATGATCTCAGTTATAAACAAACCTTTTGCCTCAGAATCAGAAGCGACCGCTTGGCCTTTTTAAATATGGTAGGAAACACATCAAAGAATGCACCAGGCTTGCCAGTTGCAGTGAGTAATCCTGATTTTAGAAAGCAGAGTTTCTTTTATTTAGGAAGAATCTTAAATTTATTTAAAGTACCTTTAAATATAAAAATAAAACATACAAAAAGAAATCTAAAATGAAATATATAAAGTTTGATTATGCCATAGGGTTCCAATTTAAAAATGGTAAAATTGTTCAATTGCATTTTCAGCTTTTTTATTCTCTATCCAGTTGACTAAATAATGCCACAGTTAAAAAAATAACAATTCTATTTATACATTACAAATCTTTCATTATATACTTAAGTATCTGCTATCTATAGCTAAAATACCATAGGATTTTAAATAAATACACTGGATAATGAATAAAGATTGCTGTGATGAAAGAGTATTTTTGTGGGTATCTTGTGGACTATTTCTCAATGTGGTGATGTGTGCCTGCACATATATACATAAAAATAAGAAAAAAAAATATGCGTACATAATATATAGACGACAAACCTAAATGAAAAGTGAGCATGAGAAAGTCATTACACATCTGTCAATATTAAGTGGATTTTACAACTCTCCTTTCATGGTGGAGTTTTTACTTAGAGTTCCCCCTGTTGATCTGTTTTCGATTACTTCAGATCTTTATAAAATGAACTACAAAAACACAATTTAAAAAACTGGCATCCATCACTGGTGACTGCATCCAAGTGTAAGAAAATAGAAAAGTTGGACACTGAAAAACCAGCCTAATTTTTATTGTACATGGACGTTCTCCTCACAGAAAGTCAGCTGGTTTAAATTCATTCTGTTATGATTTGTAATATCTAAATGGAATTTTCTTCAAAGTGCTCTTGATTGATTGACCCTTAGCTGAACGTTTTGTTTTTATTTTGAGGCTGACAATAATGTTTGTTGGCATGTGTTCTGCTTCAACTGCGTTGGGACGCCATGAAGCTATCTTTATGAGTCATCCAACCACAATACTAAATACATGTCAGCAAAGGAAATATTATCCAAAAAGGGAAAAATCCCTTTGATGTACTTCAGCATGCAGAGATTTCTGCGAGTTTTGGAAGCTCTGCACACTTGTAAGGAACGGTGTACACTTACACATTTTTTTCCCTGCCTACTCCAAGCCTCACAGACCACCCATTGCTCAAAAACAGTTCTGGTCTTTCAGCGGCAAAGTGTGTCATTTGGTTTTAGCACATTCATTTGCTGGGCTGCTGTGTTTATCTTAAGGGAAGCCAAACTGAGAGATGAAATGTTACAAGGGTGAAGTACAAAGTAGACTCAATTTTTCTCAAGTTAAGAGATGCTGGTAATTTATAGCGTGGCTTCAATTTCCATTTTTATGTAACGGTGGAAAGAATTAACTTAATGTGTAGCTCTGGGAAGAAAGAGAGGGAGAAGAAGAGGAGGAGAAGGAGGAGGAGGAGGAGGGAAGGAGAAGGGGAGACACAAAGGGGAGAGTTTTTGTCAGATATTCATAGAAGGCTAAGAAAACCATTCTGCTTAGCTAGCAGTGCCCTCCTGAGACAGGGTGGCAGTAAGCGAGGAAAATAACAAGATAAATGAAATTTTTGCAGCTGCTAGTAAAATATTGAGAATCTGCACTTTTTTATTGATCTTTATGATCCTGTTGCCAAGAGCCACTTTGCGGTGACAAAATATGTTGACAAGTGCATATCTCACTGCCATGAAAAATGTGGTAGAAGATTCTCCTTATGTCTGCAGTGTTATACAAGGAACAAATTGCATTGCTACAGCCAATTCTTTATAGAAAGTCTAAATTTAAGGCCTACCAACCCTAAACACTTTTATCTTGAACTTCAGAATAATGTTTGTAGCAATTCTTCACTCAGAAAACTGGTTGAAGCCTAATTTTTTTTTTTTTTTTTGGTCTATAGATGTTTTTCTGCCTTACATAAGCTGTTATAAAAAATGGTCATTTCTTGGTACTTTGACTGTATCATTTTGGTATGTAATCCTTCAGCAAGAGTGGACTGTTCTTCTTGTATATATTGAATTTCTATCCATCTCACAGAAGTGTGTTTTACTGTTCCATGTGAAGCATGAGGGGGAAAAGCCACTGCAAACTGATAACATTTCTCTTTTATCTTGAGCCTGATTCTAATCTTACACAGTTTTTGCTGCCATGTAAATCTGTTAACTGTAGAAGTATGACTCTGAAGCTATTTACATCACTGCAAGATTAGAATAAGGCTCTTGTTTTTATGCTAAAGACACTAGGATTTTCCCCTTTTTTTCCCTCAATTCCTGCTTCAGTGGTCTAGAAATACCCACAGTCTTTTATCACAGGAAGAATGTGATATCACGCTTATGGTAACACTAATTTATATTTACTGAAGGATCATTGACATTACCCTCATGTTCCATATATGTGAAAATTTTATGATTGAATGTTCTGATTAACCCAAATTTTTTATTTCCCCTAAACCAAAGCCTATTTTTCTCAACAATCCGAGATCTCTCTTTTGGTGGTACATTGCTATAATGAAAGGTCACTTCACACTACTTCAAACCTTTTGCTAAAAGAACTTATTCACATAAAAGAACTGTTGTCTATTTTCCCCTAAATGATGTTAAGTTTAGCTTAGATGACAAATGCTAAGCTGTTTAAACGGCTGTATTTGCTGAACTGTGTGCAACACTTTGATGCTTATAAACATAAGCAAAATGTACCATTTCTAAAATCGCTTTGAAAAAAATCACTTTGAAACTGACATTGCAAGAAAATATCTGTATTTTCTTAAAATCTTGGTCATTTTAAAACCTCACTGTTTAACACATGCTTGGTACAAAGTGCTTGTAATGTCTTTGTTAGCCTGTGCAACAGGAATAAAATCCTTCTCTATGACAGATTTGGTTTTAAAATAATCGGTAACTTATTCATTTAGTTATCTGCGGAAATGCTTCCAAAACAATGAATTTCTACTATAACATTGTGTATGATAAGAGAAGAATGCCCTATTCCTAAATTAGTTTTTTTTTTTTTCTTTTTCTCTTGACTAGATCCAATATATTCTACCGGGCCTGTATAGATATTCCCAGGGGCACTGAGCTGTTGGTGTGGTACAATGACAGTTACACATCTTTCTTTGGAATCCCTCTCCAGTGCATTGCACAAGATGAAAATTGTAAGTTCTTCCTTGTATTTTTACCTATGTAAGCCATAATTCCTGTTTCATGCCTGATCAAGTATATTCCTAGAGTGTTTTAGAAGGTGGCCCATCCCTTGAAGTGTTCAAGGCCATCTGGATGGGTCTTTGAGCAACCTGGTCTAGTGGGAGGTGTCCCTCCCCACAGCAGAGGAGTTGAAACTAGCTGAACTTTAAGATCCCTTCCAACCCAGAGCACTGTATGATACTTTGATTCTCTGATTCTGTGATGTTAAATTTTGCACACTTAAGATGTGCAAAATTATGGTATGAATCACTCTTCCACAGAAGTGATTAACTCTATTGTATTGTTAATCAATTTGCTTGGTCCTCTCCATTGCTGCTAGGTTTATCACAAGACACTCCCTTCCCAAAACTGTAATGCATTGCAGGCCCAGAGGGCCTCTCTTAGTGATTCTTTCTTCTATTACCACTGAATATATTGAGAAAAGCTTAGACTGACTAACTGTAGAGGTTAGATCCTTGTAGTTAGATGCAAAAAACTGCTTCTCTAAATACAAACTGAGTGCAAGTAAACAGAAACAGCAATGAACCTCCATTGCATCCTGTCAATCCCCATTTCCATCCATTCTTCTACCCCTTCTCAATATTTTATTTTTTAGTTTGCTAGGAGTCCTCACAAAACTAAACATGCAACTAACACAGACCTGATCTAGTGCTAGACACATTTGTCTGTAAATAGGAATGGGTGATCCAGGCACACCCTTCAGTTTTACTACTTGTGTGTGGAACTTGATTAGAGTTTGCATCCATTTTGACAGCTATGTGTATCTATGTGGTAGAAGAAACCAATAATGGATGCCTGATTGACTTTGGTCTAAAGTAACCCTGTGACTGCCCACTCTTAATCAATTACACATAAGATGTATATTTTTGGTCAAGTACTTGGATACTTAAACAGGATGAACTGCTAGGATGAACTGGTGTCTTGTAGCAACTTAAATACTGAACATGCAGCAATAAAACAGCAAGATACCAGAGATTAAACTGTCAAAAATAAACATCTTTTTTCATCTTGAGTTTTCAAATCTGTTGGTCTTGAGAAAAGTTTAAAAGAAATTTAGTTACTGGCAGTAATATTTGCTGATAAAACTCATGCTCTGCGGTGTACAATACAGAAATATTATTTTTTCTTTCATGAGCTGAAGCCTACAAAAACTTTATTTGAAAAGGAAACATTATGGCTAAAATCTCTAAATATTGCCAGTTGCTATTTTGTTGAGAGAGAAATCAGAGTTTCAACCCCAGAGACACTAACATGAGTAGATGAAATTAGTGGAGCCAGCTGCATACGACTTAAGTGCCATTTAAACTCTCAGAGTACACCTGCTTATCTTCTGCACAAGGGTATATTCACCTGCACAAACTCTGCCTATATTCCTTAGGTCTGATCAGACATCCTGATCTTATTGCTTCTGTGGACTGTCATGAATACAACTAAAAGAAAAGAAAAAAAAGTTATCTGCTTCTTGCAAGTGTGTTGGGGCAAAATGGAAGTATACAAATTGTTCCCTGTACGGAAGACACGTGGAAGATGTATTATATATTTGGAAACTGGTAATAGACAGCTCCACAGATGTAACTCTACTTAGAAATTAGGTTCTCAGATACTCCTAAAAAGAATAGATTAGGAAGGACCTCAAGTGACATAAACTAAAGAGCTTTTAATATTATAAAATTGGAACCATTATGATTGATGTAAGAAATCAGTATATAACTCTAAAGTAACTGGCATGGTTTAAGATAGGTATTACAAAATCATTAATTTGTATCACATTTTTATTGTATCTTAAACAATGTTGGATGATTCCAGCTCACAACTGAAATTTAATTCTCATATTTGCTCTTAGAGATCTATCATTATGACTAACCTAAACCAAGTTATAGTTTCTAATCAACAGTTCAGCACATGCTATGTACCTAGTTATAGACACAAACACTTTGTGACAGTAACTACATAAGAGAATATAAATAGATATATATGTATAAAACATATTTAATTTAAAAATTTACATCAAAATATTATCTCATGAGATTGAGTGTGCCAAAATTAGAAAGCATTAGAACTTACTTGGCCCCGGTGGCCTAAATTATGTTTATTTTTGGATTGCGGTACAAGCATTTGTTAGCTCACTACTTTTCCACAGGATCCTTGCTTCATTCACTGAACGACCTACATGGTACTCAAGGATTGAGGCGGCTATTCAACTTTCTTCTTCATGTTTGACCTCTTGCTTTCCTCATCATGCAACATTCAAATTCAGCAGTAAATCACTTCTTTGTGCATTTGTTGCTGAAATATCTGAATTCCTCATAAGCCATAGTTAATTGATGATCATAAGACCTTCATGGGACTAGAAATTATTTTCATAACTATTTTGTGGGTAGGAAACTGATCCACAAAGACATCTCTGCCTATACTTCACGTTGTCTCATGATTATTACTCTTAATAGTATGAGACACGTTGAAGTCGCTGGCTTCTTGCTGTATTGGCAGTGTGGCTATTTGTGACATGTAATAGTATAATATCCTTAGAGGCTGCCCTTTAAGACGATAAGAGAACTATTGTATTTAAGCCCTATTGTATTTCAAGGCGTGTCCGAGAAAGGATTTTTTTTCCCCATGCTCTCAAAATTCATGCTTGTCTGCAATATAGCAGCCAGACATGCTGACTGCAATATACGGAGTCAGGGCAATATACAAGTGCGGCAATGTTTTCTTTCAGATGACAATCCCATTGTGTAATAAATGAATATCACAGTAAGGCTTCTCTGGGTCCTTTCAGTCTAGGACAACCCTTTGCATGAATTTTCATTTCAGTGTCACAGAATCAGCACCACCCTTTCAGATTCAAGCCCACTTTTTTTTTTCTTTCTGTGCATTGTTAAAATAAAATTGTTTAATTGTAGTGTCAAGAAAATGGATGTTGATATTTTTTTGGTCTCTCCCAAAACCGTATTAGTTTTAAAAAGGCATAAAAAAGATCTTATATACTTTTCTTCTTTTCTCCCAGTGAATGTCCCTTCGACTGTAATGGAGGCCATGTCCAGACAAGACACCCTACAGCCATTTAATAAAAGTAGCAAACTATCCCCTGCCACTCCACAGCGATCCGTAGTATTTCCACAGACTCCGTGTAGCAGAAATTTTTCTCTCCTGGATAAATCTGGGTCCATCGAGTCAGGATTTAACCAGATCAGTGTCAAAAACCAACGAGTTCTTGCAAGCCCAACTTCAACAAGCCAACTAAATTCTGAGTTCAGTGACTGGCATCTTTGGAAATGTGGGCAATGCTTTAAGACTTTCACCCAGCGGATCCTCTTACAGATGCATGTGTGTACACAGAACCCTGACAGGTAAAGCCCAGGCTCTCTTTATTTCTGTATCTACTGATAGCCAGATCCACTGCTTTCTTCTTTTATCAAGCTGTTATCATTTTCAAAAACAAGCCATTATTACAAGGACCCCATATGACATAATTCATCTGCAGCTATGTGAAGTAAGCTGATAAAAAGTATTGCTTGACTTCACTATTTGTAAAAACATTTGGTGCCTAAATGTGCAGATAAAAGGAAATAGCTAAGGATATAATCTTGTTTTCAGAGTGGTTTGGTACATCTGATGGAGGCAACAAAATAGAATGAAAATTTATGAATATCATAGATGGAAGAAATGAGGTCAAGATAATTAAAAGTCTCTCTGTCTTCCAAAGATAATCTAACTTGCTGCTCAGTGGCTGTCACAGTCATTTCAGGGTTCACCTATAGTGTGCAATGTGTATGAACTTAATTAAGTACTAAGAGGTAATGAATTGGAATTTTTTGCTTAGTACTATTTTTCTTCATAGCATGCAAACCCATAAATCGTACAAAGCTGTCAAAAGGAAATACCTACTCCACTAGTGATGTGGAGGAAAACAGATGCCACTTATTCAATAAACTAATATCCACACAGAAGAAAAATGTTGACTAGATACCTCAGAGTCAAAGTTGGTTTGAAAGTTTGTCAATACAGAATTTTATGGCTGTGAACTGAGGATGAAATTTAGCTGAACAAGTGAATTAAAATTTCAGGTACTCTGACCGGTGGCACAGTAAATATAATGGAACCATTATTTATGAATCAAAGCTGGTTTATTTGACAATTTTGATAGCTGGCAGGACAAAAGAAAAAAATCAAATTAATTCAATAAAAAAGGCTGCCCGTGTTTTGTCTCTTCTTCAGCTGTGAAGATTTGAACAGAACAGCTGAATCCCTGGAAGGTTGTTCTAAAAGCAGCATTTAATTGTGAATTACAGTTAACAAAAATACTACCAAAAAATACAAAGAGTGAGTCTGTGCATGTGTTTGTATGCATGTCTGTGTCTCTTTGTGCTTATCTAAGTGTACACATATGCTTGTGTGATTCTGTGGGAGTGGAGGTACTAGAGAATAAATCCATTTTTCTGGAAGAAATGTAAAGCATGGGCAAAGATTCCATTACAAATCTTCATAAAAATTAAAGAATTGATAATACTGTGAATACCTACAAGCCCTGACAACATTTTCCGAATTTTATGCTGGCCTTAGCAGAAACAAATGCCTTTGTGAGGGCTTGCCAAAACTGTGGGACACAACTACTAATTTAAGTGTTACAATGTATAATATCTGTCTCAAAAGGTCCACATGGACTCTCGTGTTTCCAGTATTATATCCTAAGCACACTGTAAAGCATAAAATGGTGCAATAGTCCAGAAGAGTCTAGAGTCTAGAAAAGGCATGTTGTGAGGATTTCTCATATACTTTTTCAGTGATTCATCTGATGAGGTGTGACACCTAGATTTCATCCTTTCCTTTACTTGAGCCCGTGTCTTCCCTTACGAGGAGCGAAATTGCAGATAATAATTAATTCAAAAAGAGTCTCACTTAAAGGGACTGTTCTTCATTTTAAGTGCCAGCTAAATATTCAATTTGCCAGAGAAAGAAAATTAGGATAATTTTGTCTTACTCTTAGATATTTCATCTTGGAGATGAAAGATCTTGGAGGTGAGAGATTTAATTTTTTAAATTAATTTTATTTATTTTTATTTATTTTGTCCTAAATATCTTGTGTCAAATAGTGTCTGAAACACAGACTGGATTTCAGATCTTCCCTCTTAGAAGTGAACATCATCATTAGTAGGGTACAGATTCATGATGTCTCACCATTCAGTCTCTCCCATGCTTTCAAACACTTTAGCTCAGAATACCCTAGAACATAGTAGGAAAATTATCATGCTGTTTAAAGTCACTGCAATTCATGCTATATTTGAAATTACCAAAATAACAGTTACTGCAGATCATAACTACCCTAGGATCTGGGATCTCATATCCCTGGCTAAATCATTACAGGTTGAGTTTATATCATAGGCAGCTTTTTGTCTTTTAACAGAGATCAGTAAATTGCTTATTTAGGGATACTGTATCTAGAAAAAGTTGTCTTAGTTTTCTTAAACATATTGCATTCCTCTAGATGAAAACTTCCTTAAGAGTTGTACAAAATTTCCAGGAGACAAGAAAGTAAGGTATGATTTGTGAAAGAATACCTCCTTGCCAGCCTGAAGTACTGGATGCAACTCTCTGGTTTGTATTTTCTCAAGGATATCTGCAGCACCACTCCAGCTGATAAACAACTCCCCATTTATTGTCAGCAATTTGTGAACACACCAGTCACTGCATCTTTGATGTGACTGAAGCAGCAGGGCCTGTCATCTCTAGGAAGTAACTTTAGGCTATCTATTCTGGTTTGGTATTTGTTCTTCAAAAATGCTCATTACCTACAGCATGAGGTGCAGGGAAAACATCTTTGAATCTATACAGGAATCCAATTCATGGTCTGAAATTTGAGGAAAGCAGACCACTCGAGACTTGAGAATCCAAATAAAGATATTACAACATAGTTTCAGAAAGAATCTGAATGAGAATAGACACAAAATAGGCCATAATATTCTTAATTCAACTAGGCAGTAAGAAATAAATGGTCCTATTTAACAGGCAGATAATATAATAAATAAAAATAATTTAAAAATATGAATCCAAAATAGGGGGAAATATGAAAATCATTTGCTGTGCTCTCTGTTTTAGTTTAAGATTAAGATTTTTATTTAAACTAACTTTAAAATATTTACTGTTTTACTTTTGTTTTACTTCTCACTTTCCACCAGATTTTTTATCTTGTTACATTTTTAGGGCTTCTCTTTGAACTTAATGGTAACTGGGGTTGGAGTAGATAGGGGAGGTGGAGATTTAAATCCATCTAGTCTTGAATTCTGGGACTTTCTGAGCCTTTGGGACTTTTTTTAAGCCTTGACTAGACAGAGACACTTTGAGAAACTATTTCTTGAAGAAAAAGTGAGAAATCCATTTTCATGGTTTTTGTTGTTGTTGTTTGTTGTGTTGTGTTTTGGTTTGTTTGTTTTTTTCATTTTGTTTTGTTTTATTTTATTTTTTAATTTTTTTTTAATTTCCTCCCTTCTACTGCAGCAGGAGGCTTCTATTTGGGAGGCTTAAAAAAGGGGTAACCAAAACTCTTTATCGTACTGAATAATATTTAGAGCAGTTGTTTTTTGGTTTTTTTTGTTTGTTTGTTTTTTTTTGTTTTTTTTTTTTTTTAACAGCAACCACTTTTCTGTTAATGATGCAATCTTTTTAAATGACACAGCTCTTCCATCTCACTATGATCACCAGATTCAGAATAGGGAGATGGCTGCAGTTCCCAAGACCTCTCTGTGGCACATTTTTATATGCAACATGTACATCTGTGTGATAAATATTATCATTGATTACCATGTATTCAAGCTGATAATTTGAGAGAAAGTCCACTCTATTAGTGTGTCTATGGCTGATAGATTATGGGTGTGATCTGGCACTCACAATTCTTGTTTACTAAAAAGGTATTATTACACTTAAGTTTTGCTGTAGCAACTCAATGTTAAATTGTAAGGGTTTTTTAGGGTTCTTTTGTTTTTGTTTTTGTTTTGTTGTTGTGGTTGGTTTTGTGGTTTTTTTTTTTAAACAAGAACTTGACGTTACCAATTTAATAGGTCTTTCTCTCTAAGATTGTGGTTCAGTCCATTTTGTGTTAATATTTTTCTTTATAGGTTCTGTGTCTTTGACCTTGAGGTTCTCCCTAAGTCCATTAATTAATTTGAACATCTCCAAAACAGATTAGAAAAAATAGATGCTGTGAGCAAGCATTGTCTCTTTCTGTTTATTGAGTATTGCTCAATTAAAGTAAACTTCGTGCTGAATTTAATGCTTGTTCTTGCATAATCTTTTCATAAAGATTTGCAAACTCCCAGCACTCAAAGCTAATAAGAATAACGGGTGTACAGAGCAGCAACTCTCTCTGACAGCTTTACATTTGCAAATGCTTCAAGTGCGCCAGCTTTCTGCTTTTGCTAGTTTCTTCACAAACACTTGTAACAGAGGATCCAGAGCTCCCAGTGGGTCCAGCTCTGCCATCCCTGCTGCTGTTTGGTGCCTGAGGTGCTCAGGACAGCAGCTGTGCTGACTAAGGGGAACACCAAGGCAGCAGGGAATGTGGAGTCCAGAGTCAGGGAAGGTAGCCCACCCGTGGTCCCGCTGATGCTAGGGATGTTTCTGTGTGCAAGTTAGCAGTATCCCAAGGTGTCACTTGGTTCTCTAGCCTTAGTTCAACTTGCTAGAAGAAGGCATTCCTCAAAAATAGCTTTATGTGAGAATAACTGTGACCTAACTCCTCTGAGTGCAGGTGTGCTCTTAATGCTCTGTGCTGTACCAAGGCCTGGTCCTGAAAGCCAGTGTTGGCACTGCTTCAACATGGCCTGCTTTTGTTTTTTTGCAGAGGCTGTGGTGTGTCAGCCTTCCCCCTATAACAATGTGAAATCCTGTCCTGAGTTCAATGGAGTCCTGTGTCCCACGCCTTGAGACCCTGAGATCAATCACCACTTCTAAGCTCAGGAGCAATGCTTCCCATCAGAGAGGAAGTCAGGCAAAACCACCAGAAGTCCTGAATGAATGAACAGGGAACCACTGGATTAATTCAAAGACAAAAAGGAAGCCTACAGAGGATGGAACCAAATATAGGTAGTCTGTGAGATATACAGTTAGATTGTCCAAGAAGTCAGCAATCAGTTTAAGAAAGCTGAAGCCATGATAGGATTCAATGTGGGCAGGGAAATGAAGAACAATGAAAGCTTCTGTAGTTATGTTTGTGATAAAAGGAAATAAGGAAAAATGTGGGCCCTCTCTAGGAGAAGCAGGAGGCCTCATGACCTGAGACATGAATAAGATTGAGGCAGTCAATAATTTTTTTTTGCCTCAGTCTTCACTGGGAATTGTTCCAGTCACACCACCCATGTCACAGAAGGCAAAGGAAGTGACTGGGAAAATGAAGAATTGCCAGCTGTAGAAGGAGATCAGATTGGAGACCATCTAAGGAACTCAAAGGTGCACAACTCCATGGGACCTGATGAGATGCATGTATGGGTCCTGAGGGAACTGGCAGACGAAGTGGCTAAGTCACTATCTATGGCTAAGTCAGTATCTGTCATATTTGAGAGGTTGTGGCAGTCTGGTGAAGTTCTCACTGACTGTAAAAGGGGAAACATAAGCTCCACTGTAAAAAAGGAAGACCTGGAGAACTATAGCCCAGCCAGTCTCACCTTGGTACCTGGCAAGAACATGGAGCAGATCCTTCAGGCAACTATGTTAAGGGACATGGAAAATAAGGAGGTGGCTGATGACAGCCAACAGGTAGGGCTTCAGTAACAGTCCAACTCTAGGACTCCCAATATAGGAAGAATGTGCTGGAGAGAGCTATGAGGAGAATCCTAAAGGTGATCAGAGGGAGGAAGACAGGCTGACAGAGTTCAGGTTTTTCAGCCTGGAGAAGAGAAGGGTTCAGGGACATCATATAGCAGCCTTCCAACACCTATAGGGGCCTGAAAGAAAACTGGAGAGAGACTTTTTATGAGGGCATGTAATGATGGAAGAAGGGACAATGGCTTTAAGATGAAAGAGGGTAAATTTGGATTGGATGTAAGAAAGAAATTCTTTACTTTGAGGGTGGTGAGACACTGAAACCGTTTGCTCAGGGAAGCTGTGGATGCTCCATCTTGAGAAGTTGTCAAGGCCAGGTTGGATGGTGCTTTCAGTGGAAGGTGTTCCTGCCCATGGCACAGGGGTTGGAACTAGGTGATCTTTAAGGTCTCTTCCAACAAAAATCATTCTATGATCAAGTTGGGTTTTTAGTTCTTAGTCCTCAATAAGGAGAAAAGCCCTTTCAACCACATGCCAGTCTCTCTTCTTTCTGCTGGTGCTTTTCCAGCTGTTTGTAAAGGAAAAGAATTACAGAACTGTAATTAACTGCTTGGTCTGTGAGTGTTTCAATGATAGAGTTACAAGTATTCAGGAACTCACTATTAAAGCAATTTCTCTTCTAAGAATTGCACTAGGATTCCATATGTCGCTTGAAAAGACCAAATTCACTTCTTAAAAGAAGTAATTTGAAAATTCAGTGGAAAATAATGGCAAGATTTTTTCAAGAAAATTCAGAGAATTAATAATTTAAGATATATAAAATAAATTTATAATGGGTAGATATATTTGGGAGTCAGAAGGTGGAAAGTATATTGTTTTAGCAGAGGAATACTACAAGATAAAAAAAGCTATGCTACTTTTACTTAACAAAAATCTAAAAAGTATCAATCTAAATGTACAGTTATCTGTCAGTAGCTGTTCCAGCTGCATAGATATGGATTTTTCTATTCTTCTCTATTCATATGCTTTGTGCATGTTGAGGGTTCTACATATCCTGCACAAAGCATGAGCTTTGGTGAGGCTCAGTAAGCCTCATATGGGAATATGTGTTTTGTACTGGTCCCATATATGATGTAGTTTCACCCAGAAAAAAAATCAACTACAATTGTGATAAAACTGTAAGACAGGAAAACACATCACCAAGGAGCAAAATCATTCAATATATTTTCTAGGGTAGAGAGCAAAATTTATTCCTTAGTGTTTTCATTTTGTAAATGAGACTCACAAAACTTGGAAAACCTCAAAATAACTACAAAACCTGAAAACTATTACATTAGAGTTGCTCTCTGAATTTTGCTTTAAATGGTATATGTTGCTATAGTGGGCCACCATATAGTCAGAGACTGTAGGATTAGAGTCTCTAGAAAAAGATGGTGGATCACACCTTTCAGTAAAACTAGAGAGCTGATCAATGATGCAGGGGATTAATGATAACAGTGTAATTCCTTCGACAGCAGAATTTGCTTCTAGGTAAGTAGGTTTCCTATCTGCAAGCTCAAAAGAAAGATGTAGAGCTAAAAAAATATGTAACTAGGTGATTAATAAAAAACATTAGAACTGCTTTTGGTGGCTGTCAGAACATCATTCTCAACTGCACATTGCTATACATCAGTCTAGCTGTTCTTAAATGTAACTTAAAATTACTATCTGAGAAGATTTTGATTCACAGGATACCTTGAAGCTCAGAAGGTATGATAAGTTCTTGGTTATTTCAGTGGAAATTAGTTTTTCTGAGCTGGGAGTGCATTCAGTCTAGCAGCGGATCTTTGAAAGTACAGCCTATGAAGTCCAATATTTCTGTCACTGTGTCCCTGTTCCTTCTGTCTGCAAACCTCTGTTATAAAGAGGTCACCATCCTAATTCATTGTCCTGGTGCAGACCAAAGTGATGGCAGAAGACATAACTGCTACATCAAAGGCAGGCGTGATCTGCCCATGTCAATGTACTCACTGAACCGAGCACTGCTCATGTTCAGTCCTTCTGCACCACTTTCATTTTTTTTGAAAACAACATATTGATTTTATTTTCTTCCAAGAAAAATTTCTGAGCTCAGTAAAATGGTTACCAGAGAACAAAATGATAAGTTTTATACTTGCTGAATGACTTTTTTTGCTCTTGGAAAAATAGTAGTATCCAAAAGTTGTCAAAAGTTGACATACTTAAATCTGCATTTGTAAAAATTAGAGCATTTTTAAATGTTACCGTATTTGAATGTATTTATAGGTTCTCTTTTTAAAATGAGCTTTCTCTAATGTGTCTTGTATCTAAGCTTTAAAAAAATTACACATTTTAGTGTTAATCAGCATTGCCTGTGCATAAACCGGAGAAATGCATCCCTTACAAAGAGAAAGGTGACTTCTTTAATATTTTTTCTCCCAAGATGTAGATGAATGGAAAAAATATAGTCAGAGTGATCTAACAATAGGTGATTTCTTACAAGGCTTGTTTTCTTGAGCATCAGCCAGTGAAACGTATTGAGTACTTCGTAAAGAATTCATTTATTTTGAGCCAATGTAGGGGGTGAACCCATATTGCCTGACATCACAACATTCACTTACAACTGGTTTGGAATTTTGACTGTTTACAGAGAAGTTACAGTGTGAATTTTCACTGTGTGAAATTAATCACATTGACTGTTAAAAAAATAAAAGATTAATTGGTTGTACGTAGTGTTGTATAATTTCTTATAGTAACTATTAAAAATAGATAACCAGAGGCTAATAGATGTTAATGGTCCGCTTCACTATTAAAAAAAATCAATGTTTCTTGGATACAGAAAACATTATTGCATTATTTTGCTTATAAGTGTTTGATATGAAAATATCCAAACAAGTAAGTCTGCATTCACAAATATCTTTGTTTTACCAGCTTTAAACATTTCATGCTAAATTTGAAAAATATTTTCTGTGCAAAATAACTTTGCACTTCAAGAAAGGAGAAAACTAGGCATGTTACTACTTGCCTCCCAATAAGAGAAACAGATAATGAGTTTTTATTATTTTCTTAAAATGTTGTTTTACATGTATTTGTGTATTTTTAAGGGCCACATTATATAAGTTACCTTTCCACAGCTATTATATATTACTTTTAAACTTGTTGGAGAGTAGATTTTCAAATGCAAGTAATTAAAGTAGTAAGCTATTGAGTTATTGATGAATGCTGAGCTATTAATCAAGCTAAAAAATTCTACAATCAGGATTCAGTGCTCTGAAGCACTGTAAAATAATAGTATTTGTGTTCAGTGATGCAAGTAGCCACAATTAAGCAGTTCACTTGACAAATGAGATAGTTCACTTTATTTTGCACTTAATTGAATTGTACATGCTTGGTCACCATTGTCTTCTTCCCTTTAGTTTTGGTTTCTAGCCATTTAAACATACGCATTTATTAAAGAGAGAGTAATTGAGCTAAGTTGGTCATTGGCTCTGGAAATGTAGACATCAAGAGTTAAAATGTTGTGTAGGGTAAAAATTATTATTATCCCTCTAGAAAAAAAAATCTTAATTTTTTAAGAGAAAAAATTGGATAAGCATTTAGGATTCTGCCACTAACTCAAAACAAATGTGAAATGGAAAAAGCCCCTCTGGGATGTTGATATTAAATCACTATTCCCAAGTAGAAATATATAAACATTGTTTCTTCACATTTTATTTTAGTTAGCATTTCAGCAGACCTGTCTCACATTACTGTCTTGTATCCTTTTCTTTCTGTGTCTGCAGTCTGCTTGTTATGATCCTCAATTTGCAACATATCATTCAGTTTTGTTTGTTTGTTTGTTATGTTTGCTTTTAACAAACCGTGGCATTGAAAACCTAAGTTCTATGTTTCCTTCCAAGATCCTAAAAAAAGGCATTTTTAGTCTGGGTGGGAGAAACATGTTAATAAAATGCAAATATATTTAATAGATGTAGGAAAATAGACAGATAATTGTAACATGGTGGTTACTTTTTCCAATATTTCTTACTGAAATACATGATCTCAAAAAACCTAGATTTCTCCAAAGCAATACAAAGAATTTAATTGCAAACAGCTAGAGAATACAGGTAGAATACAGGTATAACAATTAGATATTTGTAGGTAAGACTATAGCTGGCACCAACAGATAGGGTTTCATGAGACCCTTATTTCCAAAGTGTGAGGATTTTTTTTGTGGCTGAGGAGTACCATGCTGAGTTGAGAGAATTAAGGCAGGCATATTGACGTGCACTGCTGGGTCAGTAGCTTGTTGAATTATGTTTTGTAGGGCATCATGCCCATAGACTCTCATTTAATTCCTGTGCAAGAATTTTACATTTGTTGGAGAGCTCATGAAGTTTTGGGTATGTTTCTCCCAAGAAAGACTCAGAGAAGTGCACCTGCAGTTCTCTTCGAAAGTTATGGAAAGATCAGGTGCTCCCTTCCATATGGTTTCCTGTTCATGTCAACAAAAGGCACTGATGACGTGCTGTTTCTTTTTCCCACTGCAGGCCCTACCAGTGTGGTCACTGCTCCCAGTCTTTCTCCCAACCTTCAGAGCTGAGGAACCACGTAGTTACGCACTCCAGTGACAGGCCTTTCAAGTGTGGCTACTGCGGTCGTGCCTTTGCTGGTGCCACAACACTCAACAATCACATCCGGACACACACTGGGGAAAAGCCCTTCAAGTAAGTACTTGAAGCCAGCAGCCTTTGTCAGCTTAGATTAGAGAGGAAAATGCACTGCTGCTGTTCAGTAGCATCCCCAGCACTCGGCAGAGTTTTCCTTGAAAGCCAAGACTACCAGATAAAACAGTTAGTGGTGAAGCTAAAACCAGAAGTAAAACAGATTTGGTTTTGGGTTCCTTGACATCCCTGAACAATTTTTCCTTCTCTGATGAGATCTTGATTGTTTTAATTAAGTGGTAAGCTGCTGCCAGAGAACCACAGCTGAAAATACAGTCAAGACTGGGACAGGTCATGCTACAAGAACATTAATACGTTTCTTAGATGTCAATAGGCTGAGGTGGATGGAACTTCAAGTGAAAGCTAATTTGACTCTGGTTAAATATGGGAGAGAAATATGCATCTTCTTTTAGTCTCAGAATCACTGCATACAAAATGCAACTCTGACTTGAGACATAAGTTTTGTAAGATCATAATAATAAATTGATAGTGCTCAGCTTTCCAAGATATTAAAAAAAAAGTCACCTGGTCAAGACAGTTTTTAATTAAACAGACTTTACCTATTTCTGCAGTTTATGCTTACTGAAATTTAAGCTAAGCACACACCTGAGTCTCAGAAATTGTCCCTCTATGCTCACCTCCATCTACAGCACAGTTGATCCAGGCTTATTTTACCTTGTTGTGCAAGACTCTGACTACCTAACAGGAAGTGTTCTCCAAGACAGAAGAAATAGTTCCCATATTTGTGTCTTTTTCTTTGCTGAACTGACAGACCCAGGTTGTACCTGGAACAATTCCACTCGGGAACAAAAGTAATATATTGATATCATCATATATTGTATTGATATCACTTCTTTTAGAACCTGCCTGAATGTTCCTAGGAAGAATGGGAATAAGTGTAGAAGAAGGTGTGCATCTCTCCCAGTTCTCCAAGTGCTGTCTGTTCTCTGTTTACTTTTCTCCTTTTGTCTTTTCTACTTTTGCCATACTGTGCTTTCTGTCTGGTTAATGTAAGAGAGCTCAGCTATTGGGCCTGTCAGAACCCCTCATAACAATCCCGGCAGAGATACTGGTGGACAGTCTTTGCCTCTATATATGGTTGTAAGAAAGCATGGCCTCCATCCATGGTCTTTGCTGGGAGCAAGGGGACAGAGCTGGAACAAAATGCTGCATATCCAGTACAGAAGAAGTTGCATAGCAGAAATCATGGCCAGGATAGTGTTGTAGGAGGCAAAACATGGAAACTCAGAACATCTAAATATTGACTTCTCTTGAGCCAGTATGTTGAATGCTCAGAGCCCATAGAAAGTGAACCAAAAATGGTGTGAGCAATCAGATTGATTTTATCTAGTTGCTGTGTAAATAGATTTTAGTAATTAATGGAAGAGGTTTCCAGGTCAAAATGGAAAATAGATTTCATTTAATGTTAATGTGTTACTTATGTGTAACCTTGTTGACTCCACTTAATTTTTTTCCTTAACATCCTGTTTTTGTCATGTTTCCAATAGACCTGTTATTTTGCCCCATTTAGAGTCATTATTTTTCCCCTTTGGTTTAGCAATTTTTTTCCCCTTTTCCAAAATGGTCTTGATTACAGCACAATTTCATCTGCGAAAGAGCCTAATGTGTGTACTACAATTGACCAGTTGTCTGGAATTTGTTGTTTGGGGTTTTTTTTGTTTTTGTTTTGCCCTGCTTATGTGGAAGTATTTAAGTATTCCAGGATGGGTCTACCTATTCTTAAAGTTACACAGCAGAGGGACAAAAAATGTGTATGCTCTGCACTGCTTCTTTATGATATATGGCATAATTTCAATCTTGCAAGATTTTTATTTAATTTCTTCCTTAAGCTCAACAAACAGTAGTACCAATTTCTCTCTGTAAGACTTGTTGAAGTATTCACAGTAAGCTGACTAGTAATTTCACATGAAGCTAAAACTGGAGCTGCAGATCTTCCCATCACTGCTAGTCAGATAAGAGGGCACATGTGCCTTGATACCGCAAGCTGTTCAAAAGGGCAGATTTGCCTCCCACACAGGACTGCTTGCATTTGAGAGAGGAGGGGCACAAAACTTATCCAGAAACTGATCTACACTCTCTGCTGGAAAAAAAAGAGAGAGCTGCAGCTCATCTTGATGTCTTATCACCATTCAGATTCTCTTTTGAATAAGGGGGTCATGAGACCAGGTAGTAAGAAAGCTTAGAAAAAAAGTCCTCAACAAATTCTAGTAAACAAGAACTGTAAATGGGACAAACAAGACTTTCGTCACTTGATCATGCAATTTAGTTTTTAAGTCCTTATTTACAATGGAATTTAGAGTGCACACTTACCAAAAAAAAGTGCAAGATGGAAAAGTTCATTGAGATATGGTTTCTGTACCTCAAAAAAGTCTGTATTTGTGATGATGCACACAATTCTCTTGACTAATAATTTTACTACTAGAAAGAATGATCATGCATGGTGATAAATTACTTAAATTCTAGATGTTATTTTAAAAATAATAGGCATAATTTTGAAGTTGTTACTAAATTCAGTTTTAAATTTGCTGTTGTCATGAATGCAATCTCATGATTTCAAAGTAAGTATTGCAGTTATTTTGTAAGACAAATTACAGTGAGTGTGGATTAAGCTGACAATCTTAAACACTGAGTATGTTTGTATGTATATTATTTTTAGAATTTGGTTTAAAAAATTGTGAACATAGAGTAACAGCATTTAAAATATTTCAAAGAAATTGTGATGTAAGAGGAAGTTTGTGATTGGTTAAAAAGCTTTTTCTCTGAGAAGGCTTTTTCTTTGTAGGTCCTAGGTAAATTTGGATGTATAGTGGAAGACTTTTCTATTTGCTTTTCATTAAGATAACAATGCTAAGTGAGGTTATCTGTAGTCAAAGCTTTAGCTGCATTGCCTGGACTGCAGGTCCAGTTAGAAGGGATTTCTTTTCATGTCATCACAAGCTATCAAGCCAGCGTCAGCGCTGTAAAGTTTTTGTGTATTCTTATCTTACTGAAGTCTCCACTATGGCTGCTAGTCTGGGAACAAAGCTCTTAAGTAAATTAAAAGGTAGGAGAAAAAGGAAAATTATTTGTCACCTCCCTTTTCTTAAGTTCGTCTCAACACTTCCCACTTCCATTTTAGTAAAACTGAAAAATAGTTAAGGGACTTGCCTGCAGAATCAGGGTTATGCAAAGATCTAATATGCAAGATTCAAACCAAAATAATTAGAGGAAAGATTCTTTCAGCTTGTGATAGCTCAGGTGTTTTTCATTTATTCTTACCAACGTATAAAACTGGGGAGCATTCATTTCAGGTTGAACATTGTACCTGCAGTGACATCTCAGCTTTGCAATATTTTTTTCTGGTTTTGGTTTTTTTTTTTAACCCCTTCAAATGAATTTAAAATGTAGTGTTAAATGTTTTTCTTGAACGAAATCCTAAAGTGTTTATTTTGACAGTATTGAATGCAGATTTTTCCCCCTAAAATAGACCCTCAGCATTTTCCTCCTCCAGTCTTTCACAGAGGTTAATATAAATGTGCAAATTAAACCAATCCTGTCTATAATCATCAAAGCACTGTGAAGCAAACAAGCAGACCAGTGATAATGAGGGCTATCTAAACAAAATCAGTAAACACAGTACTGCAGAAATATTTAAAACCCGTTGATGTTCTTTGTGAATTTAAGAACAGTTCTGCTTAGCACCTCCACCCAAGCAAATCATATAGGGAAACTTTGTGGTGGATTGAAGTCCTGAGTTTAAGGAGGTCGAATGCTGTAATACACTGGTCTGTACAATTACAATGAAGGCACACACACATTGTAAAAGAAGATAACAGGGATCTAGTTTTCACTGATAGTATTTAATTGTTTGAGGACTTTGGAATTGCTTCTTTGGATCTACATTGTGTCTGAGACTGTTTAAATTACTCTCACATGCCGTTGAATGGCCCTAAGTGGAAATTAAGTTGTATCTCAGTTAATAGGTATAATTATTGGCAATACATGTATCTGCACTTGAGGCTTAACCAAAATTTGATATGTCTAGTAGTCAGGCTTGGGCTCAGCCTCATGGTTACTTTGTGGATGGTCACATGAGAGATGGACTCTTTTTCCTTTCTGACAATTTTGACTACTATTAAAATTTCCAACAACACGTGTATGGCTTATAGTATGGAAATATGCACACACAAACCGACACACACACATGCTTATTGATCTCATAGGCTTATGGCAGTTGTTATTCTGCTATGATGGTCTGGGAAAGAATTGTTGATAGAGGGAGAGAGTACATAATAATTCAAGAGAAAAATATTCCTGCTCTTCCTCCTATTCTTACCTCCTGTGAGATAGTAATGCTGACTGCTATGACACTATTATCTTCACCTTTTCTGTCAGTTTGTATCCAGCAACAACTTCTGTGGACTATGTTGAAAAGAGGAGTCAGGAGCCTAATACAGATCTCTGTCAATAAGCCAGGTACCTATGTATCCAAAACTATTGTCCTGGAAACACCATCCACATCATTTGGAAGTGCCTAGACAATCCTGGGCACCTTGGGTACTGAAGAAACATCTGAAGGTTACCCAGGTACAAGAAAAAGACAGGAAATTAGGCACCTTTCCAAAGGCTTTATCCTGACTGGTGTCCAAGGGCTGTGTAAGCACAGACAGCAAAGTCTGGCCCTCATCAACATTTGGCACCCACATCTCTCCTATTCAAAGGGTAGATGCTTGTAGCAAGAGATTTATTCTTTTTCTGTTCTCTCTTTAGCATCCTTCTTCCCTGTGCCTTTATGGTAGTATATCCGAACAGCCCGTACCTGGGAGGTTAGAGCACTCATATGGCAGAAGAATCTTGTGGGTAAAGGATGGGAACTTGCATTTTAAAGAAATACTGTAATCCTTGCTCTGAGCTTTCAAGAGCATTGCAAGGTGGTGAGTGAATGCAGTGCCCAGCTCTAGCCTGCCAGGCAAGCTCCAGAAAGGATAAGCAGGCCTGTCACAGCTTCATGCCCAATGGTTTTAGTGAGTAATTTTGTCTTTTGATCAACCTATAGTCTTTACCTCAATGACTGATGGTGCCTGGGCAACCTGATGCCTTGTATTTCTTTTATTTGGCCAGGCTCTTACAGTGAGGTGTTGCCACACATGATTTTGAGGGTTATTTTGCAACTGTATCATTTACAGCTTCGTTAGGTGAGGATTCAAGCCTCCTATTGGTCAGGAAGCAAAGTACTTTTCTTTGTAGACATCAAAATAACAAAACTATCAAGTTTGAGTAGACGGTAATATCTCATACAGACTAAGTTAACCCCCAGTCTTAAAATTGATTCTAATGCTTCTGTGATAGATATATATATATGTATATAAAAATAATACAATAATTTGCAAGTTTGTCAGGCAATGAAATTTAGTATATTTTGACACACTCATCCAGTAACTAATCAGTTTTCTAATAAACAATCAGCAGTACACTAATGTGTCATCAGCACTTCAGGAGCTCTGGAGAGTGGATGATCTGCACATAGACGTTAATGAATACCCAAAAAATCATTAAGTAATCAATACTTCTGAGTTATTTTCATTGAGCTGATAGGTCTGATACATTAAAGCTGACATTTTACATTTGTCAAGATCACAGTGCAGTTTTTAACAGTGGAACAGGATGCTAAAAATATTCCATGAAAGACAATCAAAGAAACACAACTTAAAAGTCTTGACGTTTTAGATTGGGACAGTAACCTGGATGAATGACTCTGTAATGTCTGTGCTAAATATTCCTGAAGCAGAACTTTATTACTAAAAATTAGTAATGTGAAGAACACCTACAATTATGCATATGTGTAAATATCTTTCTTTCTTTTTATTATAAGCAGCTAGATCAGTTACACTTCACAGTTCACTTTCTATCATTCACATCAGGAGAGAGAGAGAAAGATTAATATGAATTAGAGTCCTTTTTTTTCTTCATTTGTCCTTTGAAGGTGAAGAAGTAATTTTTGTGATACTTTTATGATAATCTTCTTTGAAGATAAAGCATCACACAACACTATTAAATCAAAGATGGCTTTTGGAGAAAACACAATACAAGAAGAATATGCTGCATCCATATTTGTGACTCAACAATAACCCCTCTCCTATCCCTTCCAAAATTCAATTACTTTGTTAATTAATTCACACATTAATTTTTTTTGCAGATTTTGGTTCTCTAAGAAAGGACAGGGTAGAAAGATAAGTGAACATAAAAGACAGTGAAGCAAACACTGGTGACTGTTATGAGTTCTTGCTCAATCCACAGATTTCTGAAATAGTGTGGATGTTGTCGGGTAATTAAATAACCACTAACTCTGTGTGCCTCTTTAAAATGAACCCCACTAACATAGTCGGATCAGATAAACAAAGAGTTTTCTCTTGTTCTAGAACTGAATGATTATTGCTTTGTGATTTCTCATCCTCCAATAGGCAATTGTGGTTTTTAAATTAGCAGAAGGTGAAATTCTATTTGTCATCAATTTCTCTTAGGGGTTACAGAGCAGAAAACTGCAGACAAGCTTCTTCTTTGATGGCTCACTCCTAAAAATCTCTTTTTGTTCTTTATCTATTTGAACTGACAGTGATCAGAGCTACAGCAGGACAGGCCTCTCTGGAGAAATCACCTTCCCCCTGTCTATTGACAGATTCCTCTGTTCTGAATCAGACAGGCCTTGTCCCATCATAGGCATCAAGGCCTTGGAAGTAGCCACCAATTACACCTCTTGAGCCAGTAAAATCTGAAGCCACTTTTGAGTGTCTGTTCTGATTAGGCAGGATGTGACAAAGCCCATCACCCACCTCCCAGAGCAGTTCCCTGGTCTCAATTTTCTCTCTTGCCTTCACCAGGTGCGAGAGGTGTGAGAGGAGCTTCACACAAGCTACCCAGCTGAGTCGACACCAGAGGATGCCCAATGAGTGCAAGCCAATAACAGAGAGCACAGAATCAATTGAAGTGGATTAACTGATTGACTGGTTGGAATTAAACTGCAAGGAAAGTCATGATTAAATGTCACGGACACTTAAGCAAAACCAAAGATTTCCTCTGAGCAACTTTCAATCAGTCCCAGAAAACCAAAAGCAGTAATAAAATAAGTAAGATGTTAAGAGATATTGATCCTGGCATGGAAGTGAGACCAGGAAAGAGATTATTTATTTATGACTAGGGATGAGTCTTATTTCAATTGACAAGTTACTTGGGGCTGTTAACATTTCAAGTCCCTCCATGTATTGCTTTAATTCTAAAAACCTTTATAATTGTTATTTAATGCCAAAGTGAGGAATCTCAAGGGTTACTCCGCTCATAGTTATGACCGAGAATGCACATGGACTTGTTTATTGTTGCACCTTTTTTGTAGCATGACTCAAAGGACCCAGATATAATCCGTACATTTGGCTGGGCTGGGCTAAGTTGATCTTGAGATGGTTGTAATAGAAATTGCTGTGTGGGATGGGAAGTGATCAAGAGCTATACCTGGGTCAGTGTCAGCCGCCTCAGACCAAAGGGCATTTCATTTCCATATCTCATGCCTCACACTCTGTGCACTTTTTCATGCAAGTAGTTTGCATTGGCATTGGCATAGATATTCTGGGGGGAAATAAAAAGCCAAGAAAAGGAAAAAAAAGAAGAAAAACAAGGAATGTTGTATATCTGCAAATACACATTATATAAAGAAACAAGTAGGAAAACTATGTTAAACTAATAGAGCTTTCAAATTCAGTCTAATTGTAATCAAAGACAAAGAGGTGATAGAAAGTATTTTAAACATTTAAGATTCAAGTCTACATGTAAATCATATTATGAGGAGCAAAACACCAAGAAGACATTTTTTGTTTGGGTGACGGATTTAATGTCATGCTGATTTCTAGGAAATCTGATCAGAAATCCAAGCTGTAGTCCACTGATATTTTTATTCTGTTGGTTTGGATCAAATTGAAAATGCTCCTGTATTAGATGAAGCTTTAAATATAGCTGGGCTGAGTTTCAAAACAAAAGGTAAATCTGAACTCAGATACTATGTAAATTTCTTGGACGCTTCATAGTATTCACTTAATGGAAATTTGCCTGGTACAGTGAATGAAAGAAAGCCAAAATATTCCCAACATCAAGGTAAAAAGCTCAGATGTCATTACGTTGATTTGATCTACTTTTATTTGTGCTTTTATCCATGAAGTATTTCAGATTTCATGATTTTGTCTAATGAAAGTATGTTTTTCACTCCTAGAGACCCGCAGTGAGCAGTTTATGTATTGATTGTCTCAATGCTAGAGCTGTAGATTGATAAAAATGAAAAAAAAAAAAAAAAGAAAGAAAAAAACCCAACCCCCCCACACACATAACAAAAAAAAAAAAAAAAAAAAAAAAAAAAAAAAAAAAAAAAAAAAAAAAAAAAAAAGAGAAAAAATAAAATAAAATAAAAAAACCCACCATCACCAAGAAGCAAAACCTAAACAGTTCTGAGGTCATGCTATATCATAAGGTAAAACTGCAAAATAAAATTGTGGAGATTATGGGGATTAAAACAGAATAATTCAGTTTTGCACCAAAACTGAAGTGCTGACTGGCTCATAAGGGCTCAGTTGATTATAATAAGTATTTTAAACACATTTATGGGGATGATTTTAAATATGTAGAGAATTAAGTATCCAGTTCTGTAAAGGGCTAGACAGAATCAGCGTCAAATTTAATACCAGATTCAGGCCATTTATGAATTCTGCAGAGAGATCAAGCAGAAAAAGAGCCTGCAGTAAAATTCAAATGCATTTAGAAGGAGTTTAAAAGCTAAGACATCCTTACTGGGTGAGGTTCATTTATTATATTACAAAAACTACACTGCAGAATCTGGAGTTTGCAAAGCTTTGCAGGGAATTACTTTGGAAGTATTTGTGTCTGGCTAGGAAAAATTTAAAAAACATTGTGGGGGAAAAAAAGATTTTTTTATCATTGTTCTAGAGAGTACCAACTTATCTCATAAAGAAGCTTCATTCCTGTGAGTTTCCAGCTCTGTTTCTCAGTGCAGAGATATGGGGCGCAAGCGATTCTGTCATCACTTGCCTGATTTTATCCTCAAAACTATGTGAGACTCTTAGCTACTATATAAATGTATTTGTTTGTTTGTTTGTTGTAGGTTCAAAGAAGCATGGGAAGCTGGGTAGGAAGATTTGTAACTTAAAGGTGTCTATCTGAACACTGTTTTGTTCCTAGCAAGGCTAATGAAACAGAAGAAACCAAAATCAGATCCTAAACCTTTCAGACCCTCATGCCTTGTAGTTCACATCTTCCCTTATTTAAGCGACTTAATCTAAAGTACACATTCTGGTGGGGCACCAACTTTTAGTTAACATTTGAACAGTAACTGTAGATCATTTCTGCAAGTAAATGGTTTAAAGACATAAAAAGAGAGCAGGAATTAATAAATAGAGTAAGAAAGAAAATGTCATGCTCTGAGAAGCAGCTATGTTAGATCAGTGACTTGTGCTGTTGCACCTAACTGTGCCCTTGTATTCAAGGAAGTGGTTGGTGGCAGTGCAGAGCAATCCACCTCGTGCAGAAAGGGATTGGTAGTTAAATCCTGCAGTGCAAATAGTATGTAAGTATGTGCTTACAGATATTGCAAGTTCCCTGCTGACTACAGATAGGCTTACTTGTATGTTTTTTATTTAAACGTGTCTAAATACTCTCCTGAATGAGTGTGAAGTAAAGATCAATTATTTCAAGATTTTACTGGATTTGTTTTTAAAAATGCACTAGAGTAGTATGTCTGCAGAACTTATTTTTTTCTTCCAAATAATTCTTTCTTGCGTAAATCACTACGTTGTGCCATGTGCCTAAGCACAATTTCAATTATTGTATTATTTTATACATGGCATTTTCACAACAGATTTGGCAGCATATAAAAGCAATACAGTGAAACTCCATGATTTCATAGTGGGTTTATCTTGAATACAATGTTTGGCATTCTGTTACGATATAGCAAATGTAAAACTAACATGAAGAAACTAATGCATCCCAGGTTTGGACTAAAGGGAATCCAGTTCCTGCCTGAACTTCCCAAATGCTGAGTGAGTTTTAGTTCATGTACTGATGGAACAAATGTACATTTAGATCTATTATGCATACAGTATGTGTTTGCACACAGTAAACTGAAGCAGTAAGTGTAGTACAATTATCTTTAAATGTAGTGATTATGTGCCTGCCATTTCAGAATTTCTGAAGCACTTGGCATCTCTGTTTTGTAGTCTGCTAAAAAAACCAAGCTTTTGGTTTTGGGATTTTTTTTTTTCATCCAACTCTGAACATGTTGGAAGTCATATTTAAAAATTGTGCCTAGTTCTGATTTTTTTTTCAGTGTGGAATTAAATTTTATACATTCATAGAGTTATGCCTTTCAGAAATACTTTAGGTCCTTTATAAACCTGCAGTTATAGCCCCTAAATATGATAGTTTTTAATGCAATTTTATTTTCTTCCCATGAAAGAAAATTGAGTGGTGAATAATGTAATAATTTCAGCATATTACATACTAGAAACTTACAAGCAGTGATGTGTATATCTTTTTCTTTGGGTAACATCATCTCTCCTTTAAATTAATATTTATTTTTGTATGGTGCCATTGCATTATGTGATGCTGTCTTATAGCTGAAAAAATGATGTTATTTCAAACAAATAAATAGGTGAATGTCTAAAAGTAAGTCCTCATTGCTTTTGAGAGTCATCAGTTGCTATGATTTTTTTAGAAATTACAATTAAAACACTATTCTGTTCCATCCAAGTCCTTATGTATATAGGATTCCAGAAAACAAAATATTCTGGGATTGCATGAAATTTATTTTTTTTCTCTAGATTTTGGAAGTTTTAACATCATCAAGCTAGTCTGAAAAATTACATAAATCCACTCTATAGATGTAGAGTATGTTGAAGGGGTCCTGTGTTGTAATAAAAATACTAATAACACTGTAATTAGAAAGATAAACAAATGCTTGCATTTGTTAAACTTCATAAAATTCATCTTTTTTACTGCCAAGGACCAACTAAGTCATGCATGTAGCTGTATTCTTGTGATATCAATTGTAAAGATTGCATTGTGTTTAAATGAAAATAACAGGCACACATTTAAAAAGAAGATGAAGAAATGTAAATATATTTGTTTAATAAAACATTTCTATTACTGTACCCTAAGCCTTTGTCTTACGTTAATATTAGATATGGAATTCTGTCCATGCTGTGCAGAAAACCAAATAGTCTATGTGATTAAGGCAGCCTCAAATAATCACTGTGCCTTGCTGCAGTTGTCATTATTTGTTTCCAAAAGGTGTCTGCCACTTGGAAGTTGCAAACTCTTTTGCAGCAAGAAAAGACTGAGATCAAGTTTAGTTTTCTTGTTCACTGGGTGTCACTACTTCTGTTGATGTAATGCTGAGGGCACAGTGCAGTCATATGCTCAACAATCGTTTGGGATTCATTGGTACAGGTTATGATGTAAATCACGTCATACTGTAACCAAGTCTTTCTATTCTGTGTACTCAAGTGTGGGGCCTTTTTATGGTTGGTGGCCTGAGTCTTTTTTAGTTATCCGAATCCTAATTTAAAAGGATCACCATCTAGTGGACTAAGACAGAATTTCAAAGTTCCAGCTGGTGTGATCTCCGAGCTCATTCTTTAAAAGTCACTCTAAAACCCAAGCTAAAAGCAATAATTATGCTCCACTGCAAGGGACCTTCAATGCCTTTTTTGGCATTATTTCACTGCCATTGTGTATGTTGAAGAGCAGCGATTAGTTCACTAAGTCACCCCTTGTTCCACTTGAAAAAATATCACTTAAGTATGAGAAAAATATATCAGCTTCTATAATTTTTCATGCTATATGACCTTTACCATAGCACAAGAACCACCATGGTAGAATAATTGTGCAAAACTACCGTACTTGAGAAAATACTCAGGTAAATGGGCCAGCAGACTGCCTGCTGGTTTGCAAGTAGCAAGGATAGTCAATCATTTAAGCAAGCTTCTATACATCCAAGAAAAGTTCTTTATAACAAGAAATTGTATTGAGTCATGCTGTATGAGATTAAGTCACCAAACCCACATAATTTGTCATGAGCTAATGAAACACAAATGTCTAAAGGGGGTGGTGGGTGGAGGAGTCCTTTGGCTGATG